TAAAGAAGTGGCATAACGCTTCTGTGTTGTGTCATTAGTGACAAGAAAAAAAAAAGTAAATTACCTACATACCGCTTCTGGGCACGGGACCACTTGATTCAAGTTCAAGTTCAAACGTTTATTTGCAAAAACACCGTTAAAAAAGGTCACAATAAATATACGTACAGTACTTGTGTTCAGCCTGCTCGCAGACGTGCAAAAATTTATTATATAATTCAAATTTAATAAAAATGTATGTCACGCTCCACTCCCCATAATGGAGGCTTAGATGGCGGATATGAGGGTAGTTCATCGCCTCAGTACATGAAGGAGTGGAGAACTCCAGCTCCACTCCGTCATTGAGACGGACCCTGTAAGGACTATCGCCGTCGGGGCTGCGGTAGTGTGCGAAAGCGTTCCCGTAGCCCCGTCTAAGAGCGAAGAGATGATCACCGTGGAGTCTTCCGCTGTCATTCATCAGAGGACACACTGTGAAGTGACATAATTTATTATTTGATAGGACCAGGGCAGCACCACTTAGAAATGGGGTAAAATATTTGACAGATTTCATAGCGGGGGAAGTTTATTTGTTAAAAAACGTAGTTTCTTTCCGAAATATTAGTTATATTTTATACTAGCTGTTCCCCGCGACTTCGCCCGCGCGTAATTTATTACGATTGGATTTCATGGGTTTTAATTTTTTGCGCGGAACCCTAATTCTTTTTCTAAAATAAAAGTAGCCTAAGTTACTTCTTATAATATCAGCTATCTGCCAGTGAAAGTCTGGTCAAAATCGGTCTAGCCGTTTCGGAGATTAGCCGGAACAAACAGACAGATAAAAATTTTAAAAATTGTTTTTTTGTTATTAGTACCGTATATAATGCAAGAATAATTGATTTTCAATAACTTTTTTCTCAAAAATTGCGCGCTTCCGCATGTTGTAACTTTATGTGTGTGCTTATAATAGTGTAACTTTTCTGTAAAAGTACGTATCATCCCCCAACTCGATGGGAGTCAATGGAAAGTCGTACCTACTTTCATATGCATTTAATAAAAAGATGTTATTTTAACGTTACAAACAGACACTTCATATTTATTTATTTACATACATGTATAGATTAATTAGAATAAACCAACTACGAATATTTCTAAATGTAGAAAAGTTGAAACCTGATGCATTATTTTGTACTCTAGAAACCGGTATTTTTTTTAAAACGCATATTCCTAATTACAATGACATTGAGTAACAAATAATTTCAACCACTTGCAACTAGCGACATCTGGTGAGCGGTAGACTATTAGCTATCATTGCTTTTATCCTCATTAGATTGTCACTTAGCGCGTTACATCAACGAAGACGCGCTACGTAATGAACATTGAATACCACTTTTTATCACAACTTACGATTTCCGTGTTCAGCGTTATACCAACATGTCGCAAAAAGCATTCGTGTAATAACGAGCTATGAAGTATATACAACGGGTTTATATATATTAAAAACGTTTAGTTTTCCCTCACGACTCGTTTTACAATAAAGAGTAGGAGGAAAACTGTTTATGCATTACTACCACTATTTACTAGCAAGTATCTAAAGCCGCGTCTCCACCATAAATGTTGACAACATTTATGTTTCCAACTGTTGACAAATCAACAAAAGTTGACAATATTTGTTTCCGAAAATGTTTCAAAATGTTCCAAGAAGCGCCTCCACCGAGGGAACAAATGTTTGCAACAAGCGTATAGCCTTTGATGTTGCCGCTGGAAATGGAAACACGATTCCCGACATTGATTCAAGTTTTGTTGCCAACACTAGGTGATTACAGAAACATTTGTTGGCAACTGTTGTGTTGGCAACAAAGCTTTGGTGGAGACGCGGCTTAACAACACTCTTATGTCGAGAAGTTCGTATGATTAGGTATAGTTATTCTATTTCACGGTGCAGTTTTGCTTTTGGTTGTGTTAGCCGCGCACATACACATTGTGTTAGTGTGCGTAGGCTGTAGAGTCCTTACTCTTTACTCTGTGCTGCAGGCGCTCGGGAGTAGCGCTCCCGAGGCCTACGCACACTAACACAATGTGTATGTGCACGGCTAACAACAACCAAAGTCAAAACTTCATCACGATGACATGACATGAAACAGAATAACTTTACCGCCGACTAACTTTATCTTTACCTATATTTGCCGCCAAATAACACTGCTTGCGCTGCTGAGTTACGGTCTGAAAGGTAAAGAGAGCCAGTATAGTAACAGGCTGTAAGGCATCTTAGTCTTCTGATGTGACAACTTATCTGTAGCCATCTTTGTTTCAAGTTTGTTGCAGGCGTCCACGGGTTCCAGTAGCCACTTCTTTCTTCTTCGTTTGTCGCTACAATTTTGTATTGACAATATACTCTAAAGTCCGGTTATTTAAAAATAAAGGATATGTATACGTGATAAATCAAATTATTAAAACATAGATTAATGATAGGTCATCGCGAGCTCTGGCAACATGCCAGTGATGACAGGCAAGACAGGAAGGAAGGAAGGATGGATGCAGGTAGCACGGGATAGCTATACTTTGTAGCATTACTTATTCCCCCCCCCCCCTCGTGCTCTAATCCAAAGTCCCGAAACCTTTCAGCTCGAGTTACAAAACCGTTTTCAGTGCCTAGAAGACTGCAATGAAGTGGACGATTTAAATGACAAGCTCATGGAAACTGTCCATGCGGTCGGAGCTAAGTTCTGCAAGACCCGCCGCAGAAGAACACAAAAACTCTCCGATCACACTCTTAATCTCATGGCTGTTAGACGGGAGATGAAGCTACATTCTTCAACAGATTTGGCAGCATACAGGCAACTGAACAGACAGATCTCCAAATGCATGCGGCGGGACTTACGCAACTTCAATACAGCTCGTATTGAAGAAGCGATCGAGCGAAACCAAGGCTCCAAAGTCTTTGCCAGAGATCTGTCTGCCAGAAAGAGCCAACTGTCAAGGTTGAAGACCGAATGTGGCAGCATCGTTTCCGGGGCACCTGAGATTTTGAGTGAGATTGAGAGGTTCTATGGGCAGCTGTACACGTCATCGTTGGAGCCGCACGCAAGTGTGAGTAACGATCCAAGAGCGAGTCTTATCCGACATTATTCCGATGATATCCCGGACGTCAGTCTGAGCGAGATTAGAATGGCTCTCCAGCACCTTAAAAACGGCAAGGCCCCAGGCGAGGATGGAATTACAGCGGAGCTTCTGAAAGCGGGTGGGAAACCGGTACTTGAAGTCCTTCAGAAGCTCTTTAATTCCGTCCTCCATGGTGGCATTACACCGGAGGCGTGGAGCAGAAGTGCGGTGGTCTTGTTCTTCAAGAAAGGCGACAACGCTCTCTTGAAGAACTATACTAGATCGATTTCCCTCCTGAGCCGCGTCTACGTGCTGTTTTCGAGAGTCATTACGAATCGTCTCGCGCGCAGACTTGACGACTTCCAGCCTCCCGAACAAGCCGGTTTCCGAAAAGGCTTTAGCACCATAGACCACATACATACCCTTCGGCAAATTGTACAGAAGTCCGAAGAGTACAATTTGCCACTATGTCTGGCGTATGTGGACTATGAGAAAGCCTTTGATTCCGTCGAAATTTGGGCAGTGCTGCAGTCCCTTCAGCGATGCCAAGTTGACTGTCGGTATATCGAAGTGTTGAAGTGCTTGTACAGTAGGGCTACGATGGCTATCCGAGTACAGAACCAGAGTACGAAACCTATCCAATTGCAGAGAGGTGTAAGACAGGGTGACGTCATATCCCCGAAACTCTTTACCGCTGCATTGGAAGATGTTTTCAAGCTTCTGGACTGGAAAGGATACGGTATCAACATCAATGGCGAGTACATCACTCACCTTCGATTTGCCGACGATATAGTCCTTATGGCAGAATCGCTGGAGGACCTAAGCACTATGCTCAATGACCTCAATAGTGTTTCCCAACGGATAGGTCTTAAGATGAACATGGACAAAACAAAGATAATGTTTAATGTCCATGTCACACCTATGCGGGTAGTTGTTGGGAACACTAAGCTCGAAGTTGTTGACGAGTATGTTTACCTGGGACAAATAGTCCGACTAGGTAAGTCCAACTTCGACCGAGAGGTCAATCGACGGATTCAACTCGGTTGGGCAGCGTTTGGGAAATTACGGCACGTCTTCTCGTCAGGTATACCTCAAAACTTGAAAACGAGACTGTACACCCAATGCGTGTTGCCAGTGATGACATACGGAACTGAGACGTGGTCCTTCACTGCTGGCCGGATGAGGAAGCTCAAGGTCGCTCAGCGAGCTATGGAGAGGGCTATGCTCGGAGTTTCTCTGCGTGATAAACTCAGAAATGAGGATATCCGCAGTAGAACCCGAGTGACCTACATAGCCCAACGGATTAGTAAGCTGAAGTGGCAATGGGCCGGCCATATAGCTCGAAGAACCGACAACCGATGGGGAAGAAAGGTTCTCGAGTGGCAGCCTCGTACCGGCAGGCGAAGTGTAGGGCGTCCCCCCACTAGATGGAGTGACGACCTGGTAAGATATGCAGGAAGTTAATGGATGCAGGTGGCTCAGGACCGTGCTTTGTGGCATTTTTTGGGGGAGGCCTATGTTCAGCAGTGGACTTGTGAAGGGCTGTAATGATGATGAATGATGAGCGCTGCTATGTTTCGTATGGTGAGTGTAGAGAACTGGAGACCCTTTTTACTGGAAACGAGGCATTACATCCTAGTTCCCACGGGCGACAACGTATCTGTATTTTGATTCATAGTCAAGGATAGATGTAGATATCTTTAGGCCACAGCATCCATTTTCCATGTGGTGGACTGTGTGCTCGTTTGTCACCCTTATCTTATTAAAAAAAAACTCATTGCTAAGCCACTGCACAACGAAGTCGTCAAACTTGACCTTCCGGAGTGTCCAGTAGTGGACTTGTGGAAGGGTGACGTTTGTACTGATGATGACGATGTTTTGATTACTAACCAATCGCTTATCACCATTTGTATTTGTTCCAGGGTTCCGACCCTCGGGTGGCGACGTGTCGCGGTCGCCTACAGACACGCCGTTGCCAACTCAACCAGGAGATCAATAAGGAGTTGCGGCTGCGAGCTGGTGCCGAGAATCTGTTCAAGGTAAGCCTATTATCGAAACAGCAACTAATGACTGTCTCGTTGGTTTAGTGGTCGTAAAAACATGGTTGCCGATCATAAGGTCCAAGGTTCGAATACCAAAGGGACAAAATCAGTTACTGGGTTTTTCTGCCAAGAAATTCTCAGTAGCAGGTCGGAGTCAGCAAGTAGGCGGTGTCTCGCACCCGTGTCTCGGAAGCACGAAAAGCCGTTGGTCCTGCGCCTGATCTCTCTCCGGTCGTGTTCGATTACCATCCATCGGACCTTACATACCCATCGGTATATGAGAGTGAGGGATTAAAGAGTGCACCTGTGCTTGCGCATACAAACGAGCACATCTTATGTCACACAGTCTTATGCAGATGGACAGTCTCCGGAGACTTTTTTTTATAGGATAGAGTGACAAACCAGCACACAGTCTACCTGATGGTAAGTGGTTACTGTGGCCCATAGAGATCTACATCTATCCTCGTTTGCGAATCAAAATGCAGATGCGTTGTCACTCGTGAGGACTAAGATGGAATGCCTCTTTTCCAGTAAAAAGGGTCTCCGGTTCTCTACACTCACCATACGAAACACAGCAGTGTTAAGCTGCTATTTTACGCTGGTGTTCTGTGAGATCGTGGTCCTCCCCCGGTCGTGCCGACCCATTCGTGCTACAAATATACTGCTAATATAGCTGCAGCATGGTTCTACCACGTAAAATGAAGAATATGAAGAGACTGGCCGCCGTGGCTGATATTCAGTCTAGAGGACATTATTGTCAAATGTACGACTTATGTCTGAGGAGACCAAGTGCTCTGGGCACTGTACCACCCAGCCTTCAACAATACAATTTGTTACATCAATTTGCATTCGGCATAGAACAACAAGACGCCAACAAAATGGCATCTGTTACATCGAAAACAAATCGCTCGCTTTCTCCACTTCTCCAGCCTATCAAGCTAACAACTATGACCCGAAACTAATGAAAAATACCATGGAGAATTAAAGTATTCCCCTTCGATCGTTCGATCTTAATCAAGCCGAGTACAGGCTATCTATCACCTTGACGCCAATAAATACTTGATTGCGCGGAAAAATATATAGTATCTTAAATTAGAGGAATTAAATTTACTTTTTTATATAAATCTAAAATAACTAACGAAGTTAGACAACACCTGGTAGAGTCACACTGCAGCTATATTATAGTTGTAGCACAAATGGATCAGATCGACCGGGGAAGGACTACGCTCACAGAATACCAGCGTAAGAATTATTTATTTATTTAACTTCATTCATAATGTATAGGCAAACTTAATGCACAGATAAAAATAAGAAGATAAAAAACGCAGCTCAATGTCAGTTAAATTGCTCACTAAAGCTGATCAGTTAAACTGATCAGTTTTAGTGACCAATTTAACTGACCGTGTATGTCGAGCTTAAGAGTATGATACCTTATCCAAGCAATTTACAATAAATAGTTTTTTTTATACAGTGACAGTTTCTAGGCAAGGTGATTCTACTGAAGTGTTTCGTATGGTGAGGGTAGGAAACCGGAGACCCTTTTTACGGGAAACGAAGCATTCCATCTTAGTCCTCTGGGGTGACAACAGGGCATTTAAATTTTTTATCAAAGACAGATGTAGATGTCTGTGGGTCACAGCATCTACTTACTATCGGGTGGACTGTGTGCTCGTTTGTCACCCATATACTATTAAAAAAATCAAGTTACAGTTCACCTGATGGTAAGTGGCTACTGCAGTCCATGGTCACCTGCAGCCAACATCAGAAAAAGATGAGTACGCCATACGATTTTTCTGGCATCTCCCATAGTCTCGTCTTACGCCACCCACGGGATGAAATGAGAAGAGCCGAGTTACATCCGCTTCGCTTAGGGTACATTCTGAACTCTGGGCAGCCTCTTAGACCGCTATCACTCACCAATTAAGACACATATGAAACATAAATAGAAACAATTATTTAAAAATAATAAAACTAGATGTCTATGGGCCACAGCAACCACTTACCATCAGGAGGACTGTGTGCTCGTTTGTCACCGAATCCTATAAAAAAAAAATATGCACCTCACCGAGAACGACCACTCGAATTCGAACCTAGGACCACTGAAACAATAATTAGGTATCTGACCACTGAGGTACGTGGACGTCAACAATAACAAAAACCAAACCTAAATGACAAAGATCTCATTCGGTATCATCCATCAGAGAACCTACAGAAATTCTGGTGAACAAAGGTCTCCCCATAGATTGCCTCATTTTGCCATAATTGGCACGCTTGGCAGGCGGCTTGGCAACCGCAGTTTTTTTTATTATTTTATGTTGTTCTCAGGAAAAAGCTATTGCCCATTTCCTGGTTCGTTTCTCTCTGTTGCCTCTTACGACATCCACTGGACGATATGGGGTAGTAGATATCCTTACACCGCAACCACACGGCTCGTTCGGTACATTCAAGGTTAAAGGTATAAAAACCAAAAAGGAGGGTTGTTACGGTTCACCGCGTCCGCAACTTGCCTTTGTTACCGTACATTATACTTTAGAGTCAATGTACGGACGAAATAGTCAGCCTTTGTTTCAACTCAAAGATGTTCGAAGTGGAGATTAACAAAACAACCGAGAGAGCATTAATAGGGGCCCCATAGATATATCTAAACCATTAGTTGTCTGTACAAAAGATTAGATTACTAAGGCATTGTGTTCTAACAGCTAGATTAATTTAATTTAGTTATTTCCATACCATAATGTCATATGGACTCTTGCTATGGGGTTTTTTTTATAGAATAAGGGTGACAAACGAGCACACTGTTATCACAGTTCACCTGATGGTAAGTGGATGCTGTGTACTGTGTACATCTATCCTCAGTAATGAATCAAAATGCAGATGCGTTGTTACCCGTGAGGACTAGGATGGGATGCTTCTTTTCCAGTGAAAAAGGTATCCGGTTTTTCACACTCACCATAGAAAACACAGCAGTCTTAAGCTGCTATGTTACGCTGGTATTCTGTGAGAGCGTGGTCCTTCCCCGGTCGAGCCGACCCATCCAGATCACGTAAAAGGGGTAATACGTCTGACATTGAAATTATCTTTGTTTTGCAGCTCTTCTATTTATAAACTAAATCCAAAGGTCTCTTAGACAAAATGTTTTAAAAAATCTGGCGTCTCAGTTTAATTGTGATGATATAGTAAATAAACCTAGCAAGCTAACAGCATAGCAAAGTGGCGAAGCAATCAGCTTTGTAGCGGTTTCTAACGGTTGCCGTTGAGCAATCAGTTTCAAAATAGGAGGTTCGGGTGATCAGTAATCGATTGTTGAAAACAGAATTTGAAAATTCGAAACCGTTCTCGAGATAATCGTGGGATAGACGGACAGACGGACAGACGTCGTGAAATCAATAAGTGACTTCGCAAGCTTCGCCACTTAATAATTAGTTTTATTGAAAGGTTATGTCAGTTTGAATAGCCTATCATGTAGAGGATGTCATGGGGGTCATGGTTGAATAGGGACTAAAAGTTCTCATTACACTCCCAGAGGGTAAAAATGGCCAAAAACCAACAACTTGGGGGGTGGCTCTAACTTTAGGTCTAGTCAGTTTGAATAGTCTATCATGTAGAGGATGTCATGGGGGTCGTGGTTGAATAGGGACTAAAAGTTCTCATTACACTCCCAGAGGGTAAAAATGGCCAAAAACCAACAACTTGGGGGGTGGCTCTAACTTTAGGTCTAGTCAGTTTGAATAGTCTATCATGTAGAGGATGTCATGGGGGTCGTGGTTGAATAGGGACTAAAAGTTCTCATTACACTCCCAGAGGGTAAAAATGGCCAAAAACCAACAACTTGGGGGGTGGCTCTAACTTTAGGTCTAGTCAGTTTGAATAGTCTATCATGTAGAGGATGTCATGGGGGTCGTGGTTGAATAGGGACTAAAAGTTCTCATTACACTCCCAGAGGGTAAAAATGGCCAAAAACCAACAACTTGGGGGGTGGCTCTAACTTTAGGTCTAGTCAGTTTGAATAGTCTATCATGTAGAGGATGTCATGGGGGTCGTGGTTGAATAGGGACTAAAAGTTCTCATTACACTCCCAGAGGGTAAAAATGGCCAAAAACCAACAACTTGGGGGGTGGCTCTAACTTTAGGTCTAGTCAGTTTGAATAGTCTATCATGTAGAGGATGTCATGGGGGTCGTGGTTGAATAGGGGCAAAAAGTTCTCATTACACTCCTAGGGGGTCAAAATAGCCAAAAACCCAAAAATTAAATAATTAATTTTTGACACACTACAAGTCTTAGCAGCGGCTTCAGAAGCTATTATGTGGAAAATATTATATTTTTCTAAGACAGTATTTATCTCTATATCTTAATTTAATAACAAAATCATTTACAGGCGACAACGAACAGGAAACTCCGCGAAACGGTAGCCCTCGAACTGAGCTTCGTCAACTCCAACCTCCAGCTGTTGAAGGAGCAACTGGCCGAGCTCAACTCCTCGGTGGAACTGTACCAGAGTGACAGGTTAGTTGTGAAGTCATCGTAATTTTGCTAGATTCGTGTAGCTACTTCTCTTTTCGATTGTATTTCAGTTTTGTTTTCCACAAAATTCTGAGCTTCTAGCGGCGTATCGATTATACGCTCCAAGGAGTCATACATTGGCGCGCGCTCCAGCCGCGCGAAATGGATACCGCCTTGGAACGCGTGCCAAATTGTTCGTTGGAAGCTTGGAAGTTGCAAGATTCAAACGTGGACCGGGCCGTTTCATCTGGTGTCGGTTTTTTACCGCGTATTCAAAGTAATTAATGAATTGGCGCGCGCGCCATATGGTACGGCTGTTTTCATCATTCGTGTGTTCGTTGTTCTGAGCTATGGATAACCAGAGTTGTCGTAAAATTATATGGTTCAAAATAACTGCTGTGGAATAGCAAAAGTAGTTCTTATCATAATAAAGCGTGCGTGCGTGCGTTCGAGCGTGCGTGCGTGTGTGCGTGCGTGCGTGCGTGCGTGCGTGCGTGCGTGCGTTCGAGCGTGCGTGCGTGTGTGCGTGCGTGCGTGCGTGCGTGCGTGCGTGCGTGCGTGCGTGCGTGCGCGCGCGCGTGCGTGCGTGCGTGCGTGCGTGCGTGCGTGCGTGCGTGCGTGCGTGCGTGCGTGCGTGCGTGCGTGCGTGCGTGCGTGCGTGTGTGTGTGTGTGTGTGTGTGTGTGTGTGTGTGTGTGTGTGTGTGTGTGTGTGTGTGAAGTGCTTTAACAATTGGTGAGGCTGTTCCAAGTATAAAAGTTAAGTAATAAATTGTTCAGTTTCCTCGTAGTTTACTGTTAATAAAAATTGTGTTACTACACGTTTGACTTTAGTCCACGTCAAGGGGTTTAATAGGTTATATTTATAGTTATATTTATAGTTAGGGGGTTAATATGCAATCTGCTGTTAAATTTATTGATATAGATTGGAATGCGTATTGTTTTTGCTTAAATTTTGTTTTATTTTGTGGTATATGGCAAATTTTGGTGCTCCTACGTTTTGGTGTATGATGACGTATATAAGGTAAATGTCGATGAGTGTTTAGGATGCAATTCAATATATAAATCTGGCAAGTGATAAGCAATTTATAAGACTTATGTAGTTCAAAAGTTGAAAATCGAAACGGTTTAAAGAACATTACCTTAATTAGAGATCTTTGAGCTCTTTCTAGTGCTATTACACGTGTTTTTGCTGCACCTACCCCCCGGCGTCATATTATACTTCCATGTTTTGCGTAAATTAAATAAAAGTCGATGTTGCCAGGGTTAATTATAACATTATAGCTTCAAGCAAACCAGGTTCAGTCCCTCGTGATCATGGGAGCCTTAAAGCACTTGAAACGTCGTAAATTAAAAAAAGGTTAAAATTAAACGCGATAGTATTCGTCAAATTAGTTTTTTTAAATGTTTATTATTAGCGTAATTATAAGAAATCATTATGTAAACTAATGCATACGTAAAGTTTGATACCGCTAAACTGCAGGATCATCAATAAATTGAAAAGAAATATATTAATATATTAATTTTGACATAGAATGTTAACTTATTAATTTAATATTCCACTGTCTCGAAATAACTTTCCCCATTATTGTATCAAATAGAATTTTGTTTATTTATTCAAAAGAAGCGTCCGCTAAACATAAGACATCATGTTTATCGCATCGCAAAGAGTTTCTCGCTGAACATTGCATCTTGACGCAATCTGAACGTTTTAATTGATTTATGTCAGCCATAATAACGTACAACTAAATTCATATTTTTATGAATATGTTTTTAAAGCATATTTTGTATGCATATAATTAAATAAATAACATTTCTTCCGGTTAGTTATATAAATACGTAAAGCAACACAAACTACCGGCAAACTGGAGGGGAGTAGCGTTTTTTTCCGATAGTGTTCGTCATTTTTTAAGGCGGGAAATCCGCGCATACATAAACAGTCGTCTGTCACCACGAAACTCACACATACCAATTAAAACAACAAACTAACAGTTTCACACACACACATAGATCTATAGATACATTATAAATTATAACAGCATCGCTCGGTGGCAGCGACAACTCGGATAACAGACTCGGATCAGTCGCTCGACCAGTTGCATAATGTACTCGTATAAGGGCGAGGCGCCTGCATTGGTAAACAATTCGGAAACGACACGACCGTTATTATTATAATTTGCATTTGTAAGTTAAAAGAAGTAAATAGCAATAATGTAATTGAAAATTACTTATGTATGAAAGGTAACGCCATATTTTTGTAAATTTAATAAAAAAAATACTCCGAGAAAAGAGTCCGATTCTCTGCATGCATAGTGCATAAAACAGCAGCATTATTCTGCTATCTTACGCTGATATTTTATGAGAGAGTGATTCTTCCCCGGCCAAACCCATCTAATCGTTCTATGCCTACATACATAAGTAAAAAATATATTAAATCGGCTAGATTTACTCTCTCAACAAGATTATATCTCAACTTGGAACTAATTTAGCGAGCCTTGTTTGGATATATCCGTCGAAAGCCGACCATCCAGTTAGTTAGTTGGTTTAGTCATACTGAATACACGAATATGCACCCGAGTTCTCTCTTACTAAACATGTCGGTTCAAATCCTCAGTTTCTAACGACCGGTATATAATTTCACTCGCGTTTATGGAATGTTTGGCATATTTCAAACGAAGGAAAGTTAAAACCCGACTGGATATACACGGATCTAATGATTTCAGTCATTTAAGATCTTACAATATAGTACGTGAGGGTAATATGGTCATCCGATTAATTATGGTTACTTTCTTATAACTCAAAAACTACAGCCATGTTTGCATAGATGGCTTTGTGATACGACAGCTCTTCATCAGTAATTCAAATAATAAAGGGTCAAAAGGGCGCTCCTTTATCGACGCCATTTTGACGGTTGATATTATAGTAAATATTTTAGTCGATTTTAGTATTGGGTAGTGTATTAGTTTTCTTTAAGTTGATTTTTCAAAGTGTTCCTAATTATTGCCAAGGCTTGTTTGCTATTTTTTTTTCTTAATATGTTAGTTATAGTATACGACATTGTGTATTTGTCTCTGTCCTCCTCCTAGTTGTGGTTTTATATGGCGGCAAAGCTTAACGTGACTATATTACCCTCAAGTACCTTACATTTATTTATTTATCACGTATTTGTACTAAAAGTACAAACAGCGGATATGGTATTTTACTACCAGGCTACCAGCCAAACGGAAAGTTAGCGACAGAATTGTGTACTGCAATGGGATAAGGTTAAAAACCGTAATGTTAATAAAAATACAATACTGATAAAATAAATATATAATGGATATAGAGTTGTCAAATTTGTAAACTCTAATATTTAGGTTGTATGTGTCTCTATAAGTCCTGCAGCTGAGCACAAGCCATATTATTTTCGTCTTCATCATAAGTCATAACGGGTATATAAGTAAAAGTCATGCGACCGAGGAAGGAACTGCGCTCGGCACATTTAATACGTGGTAGAGCCATGCTGCAGCTATATTAGTAGTATAGTTGTAGCACTAATGGGTCGGCTCGACCGGAGAGGGACCACGCTCTCACATAATACCAGCGTAAAATGGCAGCTTGACACTGCTGTGTTTCGTATGGTCAGCGTAGAGAACCGGAGACCCATTTTACTAGAAACGAGGCATTACATCTTAGTCCTCACGGGTGACGACGCATCTGCATTTTGATTCTTTATTGAAGATAAATGTAGATGTCTATGTGTCACAGCAACCACTTACCATCAGGTGGACTTTGTGCTCGTTTGTCACCCTATCCTATATTAAAAAAAAAAAAACAGAATATAGCAGCATAATCTCGCTGTGTTTCGTATGGTAAGTGTCGAAAAAAAGAAGACAGTTTTTTACTAGTAACGAGGCATTCCATCTAAGACTGCAGAAGTGATAACACATCTTGCATTTTGATTCGTAATCGAAAATATATTTAGATAAGTATAGGCCACTTCTATAAAAATATTTCGAGACTGGACAACCCTATATGTAGGAGATTAAAAAAAAAAAGATATTTGGACAAGAAACGATTTTGAGTCATTCTTACATATGCTTGCCTACAATTACTGTTACAAAGTATCTAAGGACAGTGTTTTCATCAAGCCCAAGTGATATTCAAACCAAGGACGATGTTTAATGACTTAGTTAGTTGTTAGGGTTGGCAATGTATACACTATAAAAATATAATTTCTTCTCTTTCTGACATTATTAATAAATTACACTAGCTGTTCCCCGCGAAATCATTCGCGTGGAATTTATCACGATTGGTTTTCATTTTAATTGTTTTGCGCGGAACCCTAAATTGTATTTAGAAAAAAGAAGCCTACTCTACTAAGTTACTCCTTATAACAGCAGCTGGCAGATGCCAGTGAAAGTTCCGTCAAAATCGATGCACCCATTTCGGTGTTTAGCTGAAACAAACAGATAGACAGAAATACAGGCAAATATTTAAAACATTGTTGTTTTGTCTGCCGACTTCCAAAAAGGAGACAGTACTCAATTCGACTGTATGTTTTTTTTTATGTGTGTTACCTCATAACTTTGTACTGGGTGAATCGATTTTGATGATACTTTTTTTGTTTGAAAGCTGGAACTTCTCGTGTGGTCCCATATAAGTTTTATCAAGGTCAGACCAATAGGTTTTGAGTTATTCTTAATAACTTATATTGAATTCGGCTGTACAAAATTTTAATTTTGAATTATTATAAGTACCGTTTACACTTTCATATGCCTTTAGTAAACAACTGTTATTTTGACATTACAAACAGACACTTTAATTTTATTTGTTTGTATAAGTAATATATTGAGTACATCGCGCTTAATCATGTCTTATACTGCACATTAAATAAAACTATTCTTTTTTTACGGATTTTAATTAACTTATTTTATATTCTCGACGTTTCGAGTACTTTGCAGCACCCATGGTCACGGGGAATACCCGGTTTTACATTTAAATCTTATCGCGTAATCGCATTCAA